TCTTAATTCTAGGTACCCACGTTCGAATCATCACCACAGCAGAGTAAGTTGTTTTAGTTTCTATCTTCCTTAACTTGTGAACCTTGACAATAAGATAGCTGTGGACGACCGTGTGAGAGCACGAAGACTCTCTGTACACGTCAGCTCGATTCTGAATTTAATTTTAATTTTTTTAAATTTAAAAGTTTAACGCGTTTAAACGCATTTAAAACTAACGCGTTTAGCAGGATGTTTTTTGTCACATTTAGGGCCTTCAAACGCGTTAAATTATAACGCGCTCTAACGCGTTGATTATCGACCCTGTGAAACGCGTTGGTCAGTAACGCGTTTGAACTAGTATCTGAATGTGGACGTCGACCACTACATCTGGTAGCTAATGCCTCTAATTTTGAATGCGCTCAATCTATCATCGAAATACCCATCCCAGGTGGTGCACATACTGATTGTCTTGATTATGCAGGATTTTTATCGAAGGAACGAGAAATAATTATCGAAATAAGAGAATTGTTACATTTGAAACGATTCTGTCACTCAAATGTCAATGTGCTCATTTTATCATTTCAAAAGAAATCAAATTTTCTGATGTATTGATCGAAACTGGTCAAAATCGAATACCAGTCCAGCAGAAGCTGCTTATTGTAATAAAATTTTTTTAATGCGAGGATTACGGTCAAATTAAAGCCTCTTTGAAAACTCGGCAACTTCGTCAAACAATCACATTTAACTCATCCTTGAAACGAAAAGAAGTAACCCATGCTTGCTAAATATGACGGCTCCGTTTGTATCATCTTTTCCTGTGACAGCAGGTTCATATTTCTTCTTAAATTATTACCCTTATTAAAAGGCTGAGTCCACAGAATAGTAAAAAAGTTACAATTTGCGCAACAAGAAAACTTTCAGAAGAATTCAATAACAAGACCTTTATTTTTCGTTCCTTGACTTGCTATATGATCATTATTGCCAATGTACGCCTGGTTACGTGCAAGTCTTCTTCGATAGTATGAAATCAATTCTTCATTTCTCGTCCCCATCTACGTTTCTGTAGCAGCGAGTACGGGCTTTCCATTTGAATCACGAATTTTATATTTCTGAGGAGCATGAGAATAGAGATTTTGTGAGAAGCCGCGGTTCAAATTTCCATCTTTACTTGTAAGTCGTACTGCACCGTTATAGCCACAAATCAAACTCACATCGCCAAAGGTCATATCTTGCCATGCATTAAAATGAAATTCAACCCATGTGGCTGGATCTGCCGGAGCACCAGTGATCTTTTGTACTCTTCCTTCCCACTTGCGTCCAGGAGCGATAGTCTGACTTCCTCCTCTGCCATCAACACGAATATTTCGCTCAGCCACAAATGACGGCTGATTATCACCCAAATTCTTGAAGAAACCAACATTGATTGCTTGACCACCTGAATTTTTTATGGTTACCGTATTAGCTTGAATAAAGTCAAGTAGAAATAGTAAGAGCTGTAACACTTTGAGGAGAAGCGTCATATTTGCTCGTTTTTTTTTCTACAAAAACAGAATAGACTTTTATCAGTGCAGAAGTGTTAGTGCCGCTTTCTATTCATAAGAGAAGATAAAGGCTAAGTATGGAATAAAACAAGCGCTCCTGGCCAAAACTTAATTTTTATATTTTCACTATTTCAGTGCACTAATGTCAAAATCTTTAAAAATCAAATAGTAAAAACTAATTAGCTCGTACTTAGTGTTTTTGTCTTCGAGAGGCACTTTCAAAGGTTGAGTCAAGAGAGGAAAATGTTCAAAACTTAGTTCTAAACATTTTACTCTCTTGACTGAACCAGCCAAAACGCCTTTAGGATGGAAACATTAAGTCCGCGCTCAAAAAAGTAAGAAAACTGAATTTTCATCCACGAGCACTCGTGGGAATCGATTTTTTATGCACGAGCACTCGGCATATGCAAGCACTCATCTCTTACCTAATAAAGACAAAAACAAATATTCACGAGAAGAAAAATGAGAGAGTAATCTTCTGCCTGCAAAAATATTACTGATACTTTTATAAAAAAAATCCTCAGAAAACTTGGTTCAATACAACAGAAAACGCCAGAGTTCAACTACAAGGAGTAAAATCCTGTTTCATACATTTGGCCAGGTCGCGGATTCGAACTTTTGAGTATAGAATTTGATAAAAAAAAGTGGCTAGAACGGTGAAATGTTTTGCTACAGGCAAAGTCATCTCTTTAGTGTTATATCAGTTACTACGCGATACTTTATTTATTCGAAGAACAAGACACAGCAAGCAAGCTTCACTCCGCAAAATTCAACGAAAAAATAACATGTTTGGAATCAGTGCAAAATATTGAACAGAACAGCCGTCGTAGATGCCTCAAAAAGTTACTTTCATTTTTCCTAAAAAAACCATGAGCAAGTCGGCGTCCGTGACAACATCAAAAAACTTTTTTCCTCAAAAAATTTGTGAAAGGCGCATTTTCTAACTGAGAATTTCATACACATGAATGCCAGATTGCTTGAAAGTAATTGACAATAAAAATAGATTTTATAAAAAAAGTTCTTGGATTTATTGAAACTACGACAACGATATAAAAGACGTTTATTTAAAAATGGTCATATACATTCCATGCCTCTCATTTTTTCAATTAGACGGTATCCTTTATTTTTCCTTTTGCTTCTTATTTTTGTGTAAGTTTGTGTGTTTAAAACTGTTATGGAGAGCCCTGTTGAGTGTATTTATCTCAATAAAAAATACGAAACATGTCGGCGAAGTTAAACACTGCATTTATTCTTCATACAAAGCACATTATGTACACTATCTGAAATTTTATTTCGACAAAAGATCGATTGCTGAAAAGTAAAAGTCGAGAGTAGCTGATTGAACCTGTCTCCTTCTTCAAGAGATAGGTCGATCTGTCTTTCAATTGATTGACCCTTACCATGGTTTCTCCAACAGCCAGATAACTCCCCTGGCACGGAAAAAAACGATGAAATGGCGTTAAAATATCTTCAGATATTAATGAAAATAATGGTGCGAAATGGTCACAAATAATGCCGACAAATGCGTCGGATGTAAGGCATTAAAATTGATTATTTCAAACAAGACAAAATGGTTCGGAAAATGATAAAAATGCTTACAGCAGAAACCGTTTTTAGGCATTATTTGTGACCGTTTCGCATCATTATAATTATATCCATCTAAAAGGCATTGCAATACCATGCTACACTGTAAAAATACAGATGTGATACCAAAACTTTAAGTTACGCAGCTGCTTTAAAGCTTAAACGAGTCTTCCCGTGGACATACCGACAAATCGTTTTAAGATTCATGGGATTGAAATATGTTTTGGATAGAAAACGCGAAACCATCGAGTTTTTATACAAATGCTTCAGGATTCACTTCAAACTTTCTACGACTTAGTACGAATCTTAGAAGACTTTCTGTCGAACCTGAGTGGCGTTGTATTTTTTTATACCATACCTTTTTTCATCGTACTTCACCCTCTGAACAACACAATTAGCATTTTATAATAATATATTTTAGACTTAGCCATAATTCTCGTGTAAAACCATTATTCTCGTGGACTAGCCAAGAAAAAGTTTCTATGAAGTGATACAAAATTCTCGTGTAGGAAGCATTATTCCTTCTAGACTAGCTGCATAATTCTCGCAGAAAACAAAGTTTTCGATAAATGTCTCATAGGCTGTGATCATATGCAGTAAAATGAACGTACAAACTTCGAATTTTCGTTCCCGGAGTCGTGTGATGCTCAAAATTGGTACACAAGGGTATTTCGACATGCTCTACAACATGGGCTACACGAGAACACAATACGAGAAGTTTTAGGTGAGTTCGGGCCCAAAACCGATTTTTAGAGGTTTTGGTTTTTGGCCTTCCCTGGTCAGACTTGAAGTTTAATAAATTTTCTGATTGTGTAGGGTTGTAGAGAAATGTTTGTTCTATCAAACTCATGTCATACGACAACTCCATGGTATAAGAACTTTCGGCGCTAAGCCCACTTAAAGAAGTTCCACTGATAGATGGCACCAGAAGCCGGTGCAACCTGCTTGAATGTTACACTTCCTGATAAGTTATCGTTTCTCTTTCTAACAACGCAAACCACACGTCTCTAGCTACTTCCGTTGAGAAGTTATTCAAGTTGCAACCAACTGCATTGTCCTATAAAATGGATAGTAGATGCGTAATTCTCACACAAAACAGTATAGTTCTCGTGTAAATGCATTATTCTCGTGGACTAGCCAATAAAGTTTCTATGTAGAGATACAAAATTCTGTTTTCTTGTTTGAGCATGATTCTCACACAAAGGAGCATATTTCCCGTGCGGGACTGAGGGAAAAGTCAAAATTGACATATCGCAGTTTTTCGCCACTCAGAAGTAAATTGTGCTGATTACTGAGCAAAATTCTGGTGGGACGAACATAATTTTGGTTTGACGATTTCTCTCCCACTGTTGGGGTAATACCGTCATGATTTCTCTCAGGGTACTCATCTTTATCCTGTTCGCTTTCATCTAATTTTCTTGCTCCATCTCTAATTTAGTATATTTTCTGTAAATATCTTTTTCGCTATCTAGAGTATTTCATCTATACAACCAAAGGCGAATTCAACATGAATTCTTCAGAAACTCAGCTTAAAGATTTTCATCCTTCCCTCAAAATAAAGCTAACGAATGTTACATAGCATTATATTCTACTCTCCACTCATTGTTTCTCTTTACTGCACGTCACATTGATATTTATACGAAAACTTTTCGTTCAATCATTTAGAGAACCATGTATTCCTTTGATCACATAGAGTTGTCTCTGTTGTTTCGTATATCTTCAAAACAATCGATGAAATTAAGTGCACAGCGAAAGTTATCTGTTTTTGACGATTTTCGTTTTTCGATTGCTTAATCTCGTTATGATCTAATCAATAGATTACTTCAGTTGATAAATTGAGTTTAAGTTTGTGTCATTAGAATCTCTCTCAATAAACTCCTTTTAGCTGTGTACCATTCTTTGGTAAGATTAAAATCGAATTAGACGCTCAAAACGCTTTATGGAACTAATAAAAGAGAATGATATTTTATATTGTACCGTCGACTGTAACGAATGTTTGCGAGGTGTATTGAAGGGGGGAAAAGGAAGATGAATTAAGCCAATTCATTCAGTATCCAATGAAGAATTCCAATCATCCACCCACTACAAATAAGGAAGTGAGTCATTATTTACATTGCTCTCAAGTGAATATACCAAAAAAAGTTTACTGCAATGGGATTTCCCCATCGAATACAGCCTAATTCATCTTCCGTTTTCTCTATTATCATGTCATATGAAAAGTGGGGAAACCTGTTCTTTTATAATGTATATCATCTTTCATGGGGAGATAAAATGTTTGGTGGAAACTATTTTCACCTATAAATACACGAAGAAACTGCAATGGTTTCATCACTATTATAGATCAGTTGAAATGAATTACAATAAGATACAAGCGATGATGTTCTTATTTCGATAGTTTTTGTCTAACAAAAAACAAATTTGATATCGAAGTAAGGTGCGTCACGGCGAATCCGAATATGTATAATAAACTCAAAAAAAAATTTCACTGTAATTTGCTTTACGTGCACCTTACATATGATTGCCTAAAGCAAAAGTTGAGATAACTATGGATCGTCGAATTTTCTGAAAGAAAGTATCAAAACATTTCTGCTTAGCTAGAGTATATCTTTTCATGCTCCTCAAATTAAAATTTTTTAACATGCTTTCTATTATGAAAATAACAGAGTCTGAGCCAACAATGTACATATGAATGCAATCGATCATATTGATTGGGACATACTTTACTACTATAAGTGATTAAGTTCTACATTAAAATATGACTCGTAGTCAGTGCTATAATTTATAGCTTTTATTTGACAATAATATCAAAGATCAATAGTTGTGTAATTGCGCTTTTCATTCCTAATAAAAAACAAAACTAAATTGAGGATAACTCAATCAGTAAGACTTAGTTTAAATCATAAAACGATGGGAGACCACATAATTGTTAACGAGGAATTTATTATGACATATTTTGAATAATAGACTTTTATAGTTGATTAGTAATCACTTTACTGATTGCTTTTTTTATGCACAGGGTGTCCGAGAACTAACCTATCAATAAGAAATTTAAATATCTCCATCAAATATCGATCAAACGAGCTGAAATTCTTACCAGTAATACAGGCTTGCTCAAAGCTTTTTGGACCCGAATAAAGTTAACATATACTGTATTAAAGTGTTGTTAATGAGTTCAGTAAGGAAACTTAACCTGTTGTGAAATGGAAAAAATACACGTGGAGCGATCAATAAAGCATTTTGGGTTCTAATTAGGCATGATGACAAGAAAACACCAAAAAAGACTGTATCCATGGTATGACGCTGATGTATATAGATAAAATCTTTAGAACGAGTTAAATCAAATCGTGAAGTTGCTGTGCAAGATTACCAGTACTCCATATGCAAAACGCGTAACTCTGCTACCGGAATCTCTGTGCGTTACCGTTTTTTCTCTCTTCGTCTACCCTATAATATTCGGAAAGAATATTGTATAAATCCTGGAAAGCGTCTGCAGTGATTCATCGTTTTGATCACCTATATCCTTTTTGATTAAATTAAACAACCAAAAGCCACATGGCGCAAGATCTAGAGAATTACGTTGACAAATCACATCAAATCACATGACGCTCTGGCCAACCATCTCTGCTACCGGAGCTAAATTCCGCAACGATTTTTTTGCATTTTGTTTTTCTTATAATGTTTGAGTAACGAGACGCCTAGAGATCTAGAATATCACAGATTAAAGAGAAAAGTGTGCTAAAGATTCTGAGATGTTNCACATTCTTTCATTCAGAAACTATGAGAAAAATACAAACACCTACTTTTTCGATTAAGTTTTGGAAAGTAGGTGTTTGTATTTTTCTTATAGTTTCTGAATGAAAGAATGTGTAGACTGTAGGAACATCTCAGAATCTTCAGCACACTTTTCTCTTTAATCTGTGATATTCTAGATCTCTAGGCGTCTCGTTACTCAAACATTATAAGAAAAACAAAATGCAAAAAAATCGTTACGGAATTTCACTCCGGTAGCAGAGATGGCTGGCCAGAGCTATGATGAAATATAGGATTTTACCTTTCTTGACCAATAAAACGATTGTTTGATCAATAAGTATGTCCTAACGTATCCCTAGTAATCGGCGATAGAGGCATGACGACTATCATTCAAGATAATTTATTTTAATTCTGGTCGATTTGGTACACAAAATCGCAAATTTTTTGTTTCTGGATCGACGAAATACAAAAGTTGATCATGCATAAGAAATTTTTAGTTTTTGTTTAATATTGTGATCTGGTTGTTGTGACTGTGGGTTTTGTAAAACATCAATACTATTTAAAAAATATGGATCAAAATAATATGATGATATAAATTCTTTTTTTCGAATCAGATGATAACGAAACAGCTGTAGTTACAACAAATAATTTATCGCGCAATAATCGGTCGATTTAACGATTGCTAGTTCCACCTGCAGATGCATATAGTTAAAAGTCCTTTTTCCAACTAGTAATCTAGATGACAACTAGTCATGTATTGCCCGATTACTGATGAAATGTATCTGGATTTTCCCATAGATGATGTTTGTTTGGGTATTAAAATCAGAGTTGGACATCTGAATGGATTCTCTCGTCAACTACAAATATAAAAATGTAATATAAATATCAGAATAGTCACCATAAACATAACGATTTTATTGATTTATCTAACTCGTTGAATAGTAACATCTTCTTGGTGTTCGTCATTTCTATACGCGTGATCAAAGAAAGACTGACTCATTTTTGTTTAGTGTTTGCTCTAAAATGATAAATTAGAAAGAACTAGTAAGAAAAAACTGCGTGGTACTCTACCTTTATAATATCTCCACATGTGAGTCGGATAAAAGAAAGGAAAAAACTCAACTAAACAGTGTAATCCTTTTTCATTATTGCACTATTAAGATAAAAGACATAAGGAATGAACATCCCAAAGGATTATCTTTGTCCAATAACACTCGAAATTATGGATTTACCCGTTATATTAATTGAAGATGGTCGAAGTTATGAAAAACGTGAACTACAACGCTGGCTAGCGAATCATAATACATCACCAACGACAAATAAAGTGTTGACAAGTAAGCAGTTTATTGTCAATATTAATTTAAAGAATGCCATCGAAGAATTTCGTGAAAAGCAAGCAAAAGCTCAACACTTTGAAATATTGTCGGATACATTAGAGATAAAATCTGGTCGATTACCCGAACAACATCGAGATAAGAATCATCCACAATTGCGTATTAAAATATGTGTCTTAGGCGATGCTTGTGTTGGGAAAACAACAATTATAAAACATTTACAATTTAATAATCGTATACCGAAAGAGGTTTATGCTGCCACAGTTGGACCTGATGTAGTAACACTACATTTAAATCGGTTATATGAAGATCGTTTCGCAGTTTCAATAAATATATTTGATATACCAGGCGATATTAGTCAAAAGGACGTCTGGAAGAGTCAGTATAAATGTCACGGTGCTGTTCTTGTCTGTGATGTGACTCGGCGTGATACATTGAAAACTCTCGAAACGGAATGGTATGGTGCATTAAAACAATATGGTCTACATGGATCTGAAAGTGTAGTGCTGTGTAATAAAATTGATTTATCTACCGATTCAGAAGATCAAATATTTAAAGATGCAGAAAGATTTTCAACAAAATATGATTTATCATTATTTTATACGTCGGCTCTTACTGGTAAAAATGTACAAACAATGTTCAATCAATTGGTCTTATGTATCTTAAACAATAGTGTTTTGTTAAATCGGTTAAAAGAAAATAGAGATGTTGATAAAGTGAATGCAAGTAGTAGAAATGAACCAACAATTATATTGGGACCAGGTACTATAACGCTAAGTGAGAAAACAAAAGTAAATGGAAACAAAAAAATAAAGAAAGTTCAAACGAAAAGTTCATGTTGTTGAATATCACAGTGAATTCCTAAGTTCTTTCCTGATTTTTTCAACAAATCTATTCATCTTAATGTACACTATAACATAAAACTGAAACCCCAACGATTCTGTCTATTGTATAAAGAGAAGTTGATCTTATAAAAATCGGTTTGTGGTGATGACGATGACAAGAAAGGCCACTTTCAAGAAGAGACTTGTTAAAACGTTATTGGGCGAAAAATATTTTCTTTATAAAAGATATTTCAAATAACTATCTGTTGAAACTCCGTCTTTAATGCAACGGAAAGAAAAGATGTATGAAGCCAAATTATTCTAGCATTAAATCGAAACTTCTTACTTAAAAAATCATAACATCTAATCTGAGCGTTAGAAAGAGAGATGACTGTGGGAACCTACGTTTTCCAGCCTTCCTCAACGTTTTGAATGCAAGGAGACCGTTTGAAGATTGAAAACTCAGAAAATTTATCAGCAAGATCGATTCTTTACTTATTGCTAAAAGCCCTGTCTAGTCTTTCAGTGTGTTGTCCTATTTAGGGATGCTCTTTTAATTTGCCCACACGAAAGAAAAGTCTTGCCAGATCAATTATGAGCTGCTGACAACAAGAACGTATCACTTGCCTTACTAAATCATTAAAAATTCCGCTTTCTTTTTGGAGTGACTTTACCGTCTGACTGTAATGAGGTTGCTCGCTTCATTTTTTTATCGTCGATGATAATCGTAGACTGGATGTTGTGGTGGTGGTGATGTGCATGCAGCAATTCTTAAGATTATCAGAACTAATAAGTTTGATCTAGTCGATGATGATGCAACCAACGGTACGAAGTACCGATATGATGGTGGGGATGCGGTTGGATGTGGTGTGCCCGGTACGAGCCCGCTTTGCAACGAAGAAGGCTGCAATTTCTTGTGAGTTCTCATTTTTTTGACGAATTTGACATCAAATTTCTGATCTGCAATGCCCTTATTGTTTGTATTGTGACTGACGTCTGTTTGGTGGTAAAGGAAGGGAAACAACTCTCGGTGCTATTATGTGATAATAAAATGGTGTGATGCTGTTGTGCTAAAGATTAGTATTGCTGATTGGATGATTCAACACGGGATCGTTCGATCCGAATTAGCTGTCGGATTAAGGGATGCATTTATTACAATATCAACAATACGATATTGCTTATTTTGGAATATGATCCTAATTAACAATTTGTAGAATTTGATTATTTGTCGAAAATAGATACTGTGACAATTTTTAAAATTATTTAACCTATCGTTGAAAGTAACGAAACCAAAATAGTGTATGAATCATGACCAGCTGTAACATTAGCATCTTGAATAGAAAGAGATCTTTCATGAGAATAAACAAATTGCTCATAAACAATATCATCAACTTCATGTGGTTTTGAGGTCTTCCATGATAAGATAAATATTATCGAAACCGAAGAATATATCTTAGATCTAGGGTAAGTAGATAACGAATACTGATATGTAACTATAATGATACAAGGAAGTTTAATATTCATAATAAAATCTCAAAGAACTGCAAAAGATTAATCGACGCACACGATAAATAATTAATTATGCGATCGATCTGATCTAACCCTTCGACGATGAAGTGTTAGATGGACCCACTTGCTGGACCCACTTGACAGTTTTGCGTCTAATACAGCATTACCATTTAGTGTTTCAGATCAATCCTATTCTGTAATCTCTAGTCTTGAGTAGCTGCATAATATGCACACAAGAAATTATGTTTAAATCTAAACAGGAAAAAATGCAGGTATGGGTCCAGTTGGGCCCTACAACAACCACGATGTTATAGACACAATTTTTTCTTAAGCCGAAAGTCAAGTTAGCTTTGATGTCTCTTGGATATAATCTTCGTTCAGAAGGCGTCGAAAGTCTCGATGTCAATATTCATTCGAATCGGGCAAAGAGAAGATGTTATTTGTGTCCAGCGCAACCCGGTCGAAAGTTCGACAAACATGTAATAGTTGTGGACACAATGTTTGTCTTTCTCATTCGAGTACCGTCACAATGATAACTTGTCAAACGTGTGGAGAAAAAAACCAAAAAGACTGAGTTTACAAAAGAAAGTCAAACACAAACAACATCAATATTGTGTTAGAAAAACAACTTTTCACTGTTTTTGATTATAAAAAAGAAAAATAAGAAAGATGATGAATAAAGAAAAGAATTTCTAGTTCCCTTATTCATAGAAAATTGTATCTGTGCACATGTCAATGTATATCTAACATTCTAGGAGACTAACGTCGAGTACACTTCTTTCGGGTTTATATTTGAATATTGTTATAAAAACACTTTCATACAAGTTTTTTTCCCGTATTGTTTATATTAATACAGTTTCCATAGAAGCTGATGTGTAAACGCCCATAAGAAGAATATGTAAAGGCTTCTAGTACATAAATGGATTGCTTAAATAAAACAAAAGTACTAATTTTCCCAAACTTTCTTTATATGGATCCAGGCGGATCCTACAATACCGATGAAGTTATAAAATGAGAACATCGTCGAAGGGTTAAAATACTAACGATTTAATTTGTTATTTTCCTCATATTGTATCTCTTCACCATACAAAGAAAATAACGTATACCGTCACTTTGGAGCTATTGCTTAGACAGGTAGTTAATAATAAAATTTGAAATTCCTTTTATTGCTGAGAAAATTCATTTGTTCTAAATCTGAAGCGAGAAAATCGTAATTCTGCTCGTAATTCCCAATTTTCTCAATCAGAACTCAACTTCTATGTAATAAAAATATCATATTCAGAGTCAGGATCAAAAACTAGTCAACTGATGCGTATCTTTATCCTATACGAGTACTTTAATTTTTTTCGAATTTTCATGTTGAATCATCGGGACACACATCAGTCGACCCAGTTTTTGATCCTGATTCCGAATATGATATATTTATTACATAGAAGTTGAATTCTAATTGAGAAAATTGGGAATTAGGAGCAGAATTATGACTTTTTCGCCTCAGCTTTAGAAAAAGGAATTTTCTAACAATAAAAGGAATTATGAAAAGTGATTTATATTTTATTAAAAAAAAGAATTTCCGAATTTTTTTCGTGGATAATGTGCAGTGGGACGGCTAAAAACCAGGTCTTAGAGTCTATGTGTCGTAGAGTCTAGCTGAAAGATGTGTCGTAAAATTTTCCCATCACATTTTTCAGGTAGACTCTACGACACATTAATTTTTTGCGACACAGGGAGCTGTTTGCAACATATCCACACATAATGCGACACAATTTCTTTTAGAGTATGGCATTGCTTACGGCAAGGGTTCGCATGTTTTCTAAGATCTTGTAAAATCATATAAAAATATCTTATTATAAAATTTTATAAAACAGCAGATCTTGTGAGATGCTAAACGACGTGTTTCACATGACAGTGACCCGACCACATGAGTAACTTAATTCTGCAGCAAAATACAAAAATGTCTTATTCCAAAGTTTGAAAGAATCTATAGCAACACTATCATCGCCCATCGCGATAAATAGAAAAAAGCTCTTTTCTTTTTACTCTTTTCTCCTAATAAGCGTGACTTGGGTCTGTGAGAATTTCAGATATTTTCAAATTGTTTTTAATTGCTTTTGAAGCATGTGATCTTTCATAAAAATTCAAATTTTATTGATATAGATGATCACTAAATTCGGAATCACGTTCTGATTGTGAATCTAAAAATGATCTAAAACATAAAAGTCAAAATAAATTTCTCATAAGAGAAAACTAAATAAAGTGTGACGTTCGGACACCTTTTCTTAACCGTGAAAATATGTATTGATAACTTAATATACATACTTCTTATTTGTTAATAGTTGCTAAGTTCGACGAAGAAGTTGTTCGGCTCCGTCTTCTTTACAATGCATCGTTGCATCAAACAACTGTAGTGGAACTGGTAATTTTTGTCGAGCCATAAACTTAAAGACGAAAAGGCACTAAAAAGTTATTTTTATTGATCATCAATAAAGTAAGATATAAAATCATACAAATCAAATTGTTTGTACAAACTTGGTGCATGGTAAATAGCGAAGAATTGAATAGTGTATTGGAATACTTGTACGCTTTCCTATTCGTAGAAAATTTTCTGCTATCAATAGAAAAGCGTACAAGTATTCCAATGCACTATTCAATTCTTCGCTATTTAGCACCAACCTACAAACCTGTTTGGTGAGTGCCTAGTTCAACATTCTCGAATTAAGTAAACGTCTATTTATAAAAGATAGCATATTAATCTCATCCGGAAAATAAGCATGAAGTATTTCGGCGAACGAGAATCCGTTAGTAAGATCCTTGAAAAAGAAAAGAAATATAACTATAAGATCTTATAAAAATTCATTCTTAGTCTTCTCAAAAACATTACCATTTGGGAACCACTACTGGATACGTCAAATTCAGACTTTCAAGCCATCGAACGATTTCAGGAGAAGTTCGAACAATAACCATCTGAAAGAGAAGTGATCATTTGGATACTCTCTGAACATATCTGCATTCGTTTAATTTTCAGAAGATAACGAAATACGCACACTACGTGTCTGTGAACTATTAATTGGATATGTAGAAAGACAGATCAAGCATAAGCTATAATTCAGAAAAGTGATATACCGAGCACCCAAGTCAACTTTCTTATTATCCAGCAAGATGCGAGTCGCTATAGCGAGCCATGGTGTTATTCTGTGATTCGAGCACGATCGCTTTAAGAAAAAATTGTCACATCGAGATCGTGAATTTGAAATTTTTTGGAAAATAAGAGTTGATCTTGATCGATAATAGCGAATTTTTAGCAATTACACCGTGAGTTTAATATAGCGCGATCACGGTGCGGGAATCATGTACCAATGAAGCAAGAAAATCGACCTGAGGGTTGTTTACTTCATCAATTTCATCTCTAAAGTAGTTATCGCAACTTAAATGTCTTCATTTTGGCTTAAGTTTGTCATAACTCTATGGCTCGGGATTATAAGCTGATTATCGACTCACGACAACTCCAGAATTATGTTGAGTTGTTGCTGTAATACGAATCAAATGAAAAAACTAAATGTTGACGTAAATCCATACTTAGGTTTATGAATTGAGTAGATCTATTTACAGATCTGTTCAAAACATTTCCTGATATATTCTTCTACAATACCTATCATTCACAATCCACAAATTCATTGGAAACAGGCTGATTTTCACTTAAGTTGACCATCTCACACTGATCATCATACGATCATGACTCCTCATTTAAGTTGACTTTGACTTGGACAGGAGGAATTTAGTAGCTCGAATCCCATTTTCACACTTATAACTCTCATGTTCGAGAAACACAGATCTATCCACAGAAAGTCCGTCAAGAATAAATATTAATACAATAAACCTGTTCGTCAAAATTCCATCTAAAATCGTACTTTCGCCATTATTTGCATCCTCTATCCATGCGTCCTAGCAACACTCTACAGTTTGCTCTTAAATGTTACTCGAATGCATAAACCTAATTTAGAGTTTGTCTGATTGTTTTTATGCTCATGAAACGTCTAAAAAATGGAAGAATTTTCAAAAGTTCTATCTTTGTAATTATAGTCATTTTTTAATTGGTCAGAATATTAACCTAGTCTGATCGGCAGTATGATAGTATAAAATAAAGAAAAGAATAGTTCTTTTGTTTTTTTGACTAGGGGATCAACTTTTCTACAGTGACTTTTTTTGTGTTGTTTTTGTTCAAATTCTCTTGATGATGAATAACTGGGTTCAACAGTTACCATAACTTTTTCTATTGTTTATGTGTTTTAGATTAATTTGTTTTAATCTGTTATGGATTCTCAAGACTTACATATACCTATAGTTCCTGTTGTTGAACCAACCTATACGGAAGGCGATTCTGTCTCCGAACAATCAACAGCAACTGCGAAAAATGGTTAGTGTTTTTTATTTGTTGGTTTCACACAATATTTTCTCCTGATCATTTAGACGACGTAAAGGAAGAAAATGAAAACGCTTCTGGAGTTTCAATATCAACCGCAGTCGAGCAGAATCAGCAAGAGTCCGATAATATCATAAACAAAGAACAGTCTACAACCGATAACACCGAACAAGCTATTGAAAAACAAGAAGATAGTCTAGATGATAATGATCAAAAAATTACTGTTAATGACCTAAAACAAGAACCGAACGAACCGCAACAAAAGAATGAAAACGAAAGTTCGAACGGCGCCAACGAGGAAGAAAACATAGTTTCAACTGGTCATGGAACAGAAAAGAACAGTAATGTGGATGAAAGTGGAGATACGAAGGTTACTGCGGATGTTGTTAATGAAGAAAAGACTCACAATGAGAATGTACAAAATACCGACAGTCACATTGTTGACAAATTAAGTACAGAAAAATCGGATGCATTAATTGAATCACATTCACAAATCGAAAAACAACATCAAGAAGAAGTTAACAATAATGAGGAGAACGTTGAAGAAGATAACGATTCTGATTATGAAGATCTAGGTAAAATATTTTCAGTTTCTGATTTATGCAAGATCTTGTCATAAATAATAGTAAATAGTAGTAACTTTTTCTCATTTAGATGATGAGGAAGATGAGTATGTAGAAGATGACGATTATGAACAGCCAGATGAAGAAAGTCACAAGAAGAATAAGTCTCAACCACATGACGATGATTATGAGAAGGAAGTAAACAAACGAGCATTACAACCACGTCAAAGGTATTTTGCAGTCTTGAAATACAAATGTAAAACTTTTCAAATATTTTAGGAGAACTCAACGAGAAAATGAAGATGACGTCCACTCGGAAGATAATGAGGAAAAGTTAGCAGATGATCAGAATGTACCTGGAGAAAAAGGCGAACAACAAGAAGGGGAATCTAGTGAAATAGAAAAGAAAGGAAAAGTATGTTTTTGGATATTTTTTAGAACATTTTATGATAAACTTTTCATGTAATTTAGGTCGCCGATGATGATGAAGATTTTAAAAGTCCGGCATTTGTACCTCGAAAGGGACAGTTTTACGAACATGATGATCGTATGTTAGATGAAAAAGAGCGTACACAAAAGTATGTCTAAGAATGTACAGATCTAAGTGTTTTATTTGTTTTTTTTCTCCTTTTTAGGGAGGTTGTTCGGCCCAAACAAAAGCTATGGAAAGACTCCGATTCTAAATGGAAACATGATCGTTACAGGGATGAAGAACAGGGACCAAAGTCGACTGAAGAATTATATAGAACATATGGATCTGATATTCGTACGTTGCCACAAGCCCCTACTGAGGGACCGGTGCGTGGTTTCACTGGTCAACGAAGATCGTAAGTAAATTTGATGAGCTGTCAATCACATGTAATAATCAAAGTCATTTGTTTATGTTTACTTTTAGGCGTGGAGCTAATTCAAATCGACAACTTCATTTGCAAGACTATATGAGTACACGTGGTGGTGGTGGTGGTGGTGGTGGAGAGAATGGAAGGAATCGTCAACAGTATGATAACGATGATACTGGTAGTAGACAATATGGATCAACTAATCCACCAAATGAGAAACGTAGAAGAGACCCAAATCGACGATATGGTAATGCTGTCGATGATAATTCCGAGAGCTATGGTAATTATGAAAAACCAAATGCTGACAAAGATTCATCGTCGAGACGAACAAACTTTGAATTTGAAGATTATGAACGAACAAGTGGCGGTGAGAAGGATCAAAAACCGTTCAATCGTAACAGACGAAACGATGTTGAAACGAGAAATTATCGTGGAAGCGGACGGTTCAACAGAGGAGGCTCGGATCAATTTTATCGAGGTGGTGGACGACCAGGTTACAGAAATAATAACAGTCGCCAGGAATCACGTAGTTATGAAGATTATGTGTTAGAAGATAGACAGTCTAAACCGTTTCAACAAAGAGATCAACAACAGCAACGTTCTGCATATCGAAATGAAACAAAACCAGCACGACAGCAAGGACGACCAGATAATGAATACCGTCAAAATGAGGCATACCGTCGAAGTGATGACAGGACTAGTCAGAGACCAAACAATCAGAATTCAAATGTAGATAACTCTGGCACTTTTCATCGTGAACGTAATTTCACGAATACCCAATTTCAACAACAGCAACAAACAGCAAAATTTAATAGTAATAATAATTATCAGATGCAAGATAATCAATCGAAAACAACAAGACAAGCAAACAGAAAAACATCTCCAACATCATCTCATACTCCTAAACCTTCAACAACGGCAACAGGCGCACGAATACAATCTTCAGGCGTCCAGTGTACTTTGATTACTGATGAAGATGATCGATCTCAAGATATTGGAATTCAAGTTGGAGCTAATCACAGAAACAAAGTGCCAAGTCGTGGACCGGGACAGCAAATTAATAATTATCAACAAATGCCTTCAAATCAGCAGCAACAACAGCAACAGCATGGTAATAATTCGAATGAACCATCTGATGATAGAAGTTTTGTTAATTCAAATTATAAAGCAGCAGAAGATCGTATGAGATCTGGAACACAAATGCGTGCACCGCAATATCAAGGGGGCAATTCACCCAACGGTGGGTTCTTTGTTTTTTAACGCATTCTACACGCATCAAAACAGTAGGTAGAAAATTGAGTTAACCAGTAATATAAATGTAACATCTTCTGGTGTTGACTACGAACTAAGTGCAACAACTGACTGTCTCTTCCTTCTGTCTTATAAATTTAAGAAATATTCATATTCTAAGGTTTTTTCGTTTAGATGGTGTAAATTCAAATTTGTCTGCTGAAAGTGAACCCTTTGCCCCGCCTAAACGTTATTCAAACATGCGAACTGCTCCAACAGCATCACCATCGGCGCCAATGCAACAGGCCCGACCACCTCCGCAGCTCATTCAATCTTATCCGCATGACCAGAATGAACAACAACGCTATTACGACCCAAGTAAGATTTTGTTAAATGAATAATACAAATACCGAGTAGCTCAAGTTAATGTTGAAATTCTAGATTGGAATCAACATGCTCCTCCTTTGCCTCCACTTCCTCAACCAACCAGTTACGTACAACAACCGATGATGGGTGCAGCTCAGAGTACGTTATCTTCCCTATCCTCTCTTTAATTAAAAAAAGCGCTACTTGAATCGTTCAGCTATTCTCATAGATTAAAGCTGTACGTTATTTAATATATAAACTAGAACACATCTTTTTTTGTTTCTAGTGTCACCAATTTATCATCATCCACAGGCAACGATGAATCCTCCATTGAATGCTGGCCCTCCACCATATATTTTACATCCATATCATCCATCGCACCCTCAATCTTATGGACACGTTCAAATGGCCTATCAACAACCAACATCAACGGTACGTTCAAAGTTTCATCATTCTTTTCTCTTAGACAGAACACGACATATCTGCCACACTTAATCAGGAAGAAATTTGCTTAAGTCTTTAAAAAAGCTTATGAGCGTGGTCATTGACGGATCGTTTTCAGGTTTAAAGGAGAATAATTCTTTAAACGTAGATAATAGAACACTTCTGATCTTTGAATAGTGGGTTTGCCTATCTAAATTCAAATACACCCAAAGCACACTTCAAACATCTTCTTGGGATCATTTTGTTTCGATGTGTTTCCAATTGGTTTGATTACTTTCTGTACAGGTACAAGAAAACAAATAATCGTCCTGATCAATCACGGCGTTCAAGTCAATGAAATGATGCATGAGATGAATGAAAATAAACAAGTCAAAGTGTTCCGTGTTCGTCGTATCGTCTTTGTCTTTTTTATTTTCAAATTGTATGTTACGATAAGTAGAAAAAAATATCCATTATATCTTTAATTAACGTATCTTTTCTTATTTCAGTTCATGCCTCATTTTGTTGCATATACATACCAAAACGTTCTCTATGCGCAAGCACAAACGTGTTTATCATTATCTGATAATATGTACGGATGTCTTTTTACCATGCACGTGCAAATAGCAATATTTGTTGTTTTTTCTTTATTCTTCTTTGTTTAACTTAATTGAAAGTAAGATAGTTTATCATTGCAAACGATTTGTTTCTTATTCAATGTATTGTGGTATAGAGATACACTTCTTGCAAAACATGTATGTTAACTGTTTTGGAGCTATTCGGCAATCGTTTCGAGAAATCAGATATCTTTGGTTGGAGAATGTTGAGCGATGTATTGGTCTATTTTATATAGAAGAGAGAACTTAGTTCTATGAATTGAAAATTTATCATTTAAACGTATATCATTCTAAAACTAAAATAGGCATATTGAGTCTATTTTAACATTATTCATTCATTTTTTTTCTGAAAAAATGTATTAAAATCGTTTTTCTATTTGTGACTGCACTATAATTATTTGCTTTTTGTTTTTCACGTTTGAGAAAAGCCGTACTCCTCAAAAGAAACAAACATTGTTTATTCTATTTTTTTTTGTTTTCTTCCTAAACGTCTATGTTTGTTTGTTCATAACATTGGTTTTCGAAAAGCATGTTGTTGTTTTTCTGATTTTTGTTTTTGTGTTGTGTGTTTTTGTTGCCTTTTTCTCTATACCTCTTACGATTTTTTGTGTGTTAACTTATTTCCCTAAAACTCTTTTTCATTCTTCAATAACTTTATGCAGCATGTGTAAAGCAAAAAATTCTTTATTCTAGATGCATTTTACACCTGTTTGCTTTTCTGTGGAAGTCATTGTTGTTGTACATGCTTCTTCTTTTTTTGTTTATATATATCTTGTATAATTTCTTTATAACCGTTTTGCTTAAATAAAAGGTAAAGCAATTATCTGCTTAGCATAAGAGAGTGTTAAAGAAGGTAACTGTGGATAGTTTTATATAAAGCAAAAGAATCGTTCTGAGAGCACGACACTTCTCATAAGAGATGCTTTCATAACGGAAAATAATACATATCAATCTCGTCGAGAAGTTTTTCAGAGTTTGTTGCATCAATTACAAATTCGATTTCTTCGTAGTAGATTATCTTGTACGCGCCAACTTCTGTGTTGGGATACTCTTACAATGTTTTTCCTTTGGTTCCTTCAGGAAACTGTTTGAGAAATTATTTTGTGAAACACTGGAGAAATAGTTTTGCAGAATACCCCGAACAAAGGTTGCTGTATACAACGTAATCAACACTATGGCGAGTATAATCTTCTAAAGGGTATTTAATTATATCAGCTATAATATATTCCACTGTAAGTGCACTTAATATCAACGACGTTTGTGAATTGTATTCAATGCTGGTCTGACATGTCTACTAAATTATTTATATTTTGATTAAGAACGGTGAGAAAGTATTGAGGCGTTAGTAAGTAGATGAAAAAAATAGAACAACACTATTTATTCCTATTTTAACCTTGATCGTTGTTCGTTATGGTAATTTCATCAGACGAATTATCATGATAATATTTTTCGTAATCGTTTTTAATGATTTTGCATGTCAATTATTGATTTAGAACGATACCTTTTTCTTCTTACATGAGAAACATCTTCCTAACACTATATTTTTTGTTTTTGGATCCGCTGCATTTATTTTCTTGTCAATTATTTTTCCATTAGCAAAATATTATCAAAACGATACGTAAACTTTTTTGCATCCATTAAATGTTATAGTATTCAGAAATAAAAATTATGATTTTTTATGCTATAATGTAGTTTCAATGCCAAAATAAAGTTTGTTATTGTTACATAAAATAATCGTGTATTTTCTTTTTTTTGAATATGCTGATTTTTTTATTAACGATCAGTGTATGTATTACGTATATTTATGTGTATGTGTGTATCAGCTGTTGCCTCCTGTATACGTAAACAAACTCTTCAGCTCTTTTGGCCAGAACATATAAATGAGTTTTTATATCTTATATTACCTTATATACTCTGATTACCTAAAATAATCAATGAGTCGAAGACTTTTTCTAAAATTTCGTCCATAAAATGAACATAAATGAGAAAAACGTTGTATTCTCATTTTATATTTGGCTCTGTTATTATTTCACCTATACAAGTGAGTCTTTGCGTTTATCAGACAAATTTCTTGACGAAAATAGTATAACAGAAATAAATATATAATAATGAGCGATTTTTATCTCGAAAATTTTAAGAACATCCAATCTATTAAAACGAAATGTCTATTTTCAAGTATACAGTTCATTCTAGGTAGAAACAAAACAAAAGCATGCCGTCAGTTTTTGAGGGTGGAATTTCAAGTGTTCCAAAATTTCAACCTACATAGTTAGATAGAATATTTTTTTATGAGACATATGCTCTTCTGTAGTAGCAGAGAATGTGAGGATATTTTTCTGCAATTTCAGTCTTGCGACAAGCGTTGCTGATTGAGGCATAACGTTTCTGCTGATCATGATCTTTTAAAAAAATTAAAATATTTAGTTTTTCGACCGGTTCTAGGCCTTCTTTAGAATTACACAATAGATCAATGACATGTGCAAATGCATGATCATTTAGCCTATCTAACGGTAAAATGCGTTTGTCAAAAAAGCAGAAGTGTTGAAAAATTTTTTTTTATTACACGGATGTCACATAGGTATTCAGTGCTGAAACAAGGGGCGTACTTACTGGGGGATTATGGGAGTGGTTATCACTTCTATGCTTTCAGAAAAGTTTCTGTTTTGTATCTTTCGTTCTTCAAAAAACATCATTTTTGGAAGAACGAAAAATTTTTTTGGCAGGGCGTTTGAGATACGCCTTATAAATCTTTATCTTACTCTATAATCGAAAGCTAATCACTTGAGATTCGAAAGATCGGCGGTATCTTTTATTTTTATGTGTCTTGAAAGGACAAAATCATCATTTTTTATTCAAACAGAAACCCATTTTTCGTTCCTAAGAATTCGACATGGACCACAGTGGGCAATTCTGGGTGAGGTGAACACGTGGACATCAGCTTTTTAAGCGGTAAAAATGTATGAAAACATTTATGAAAATATTTTTTCTATAGGTTATCCACGATGCTCTTTCCAATGGAATGGGTTTTAGATTTTTGACCGGTTTTCTAGGAAGTTTCCCAAAGATCCGATCTCTGAAAAAGCACTTAGAAAATCGTTTCGAAACTCAAAAACCATTCCATTGGAAAGAGCATCGTGGAAAACCTATACTAAGAGCTTAAAAAGCTTTTGTCTTCTTTTTAATTCAAATTTTCAAACTTCAGTCAAAATTTTCTCTCCACATGACAAAATCTTAGAATTCCAGCAAGTTCAAAAGTATGCGTCCGAGACCAAATAAATTATACACCATTCGACGCCGATTTTTACGCTGATTCCGAATCTGACTTTATTTTCCAATACAAATGATCATGAGTTGAGAAGATCGCAGAATAGCTGAAAACCTATAACTCGGTCCAGCGACGTTTATGAATCTTTATGCTAACTCTATAGATGTATCATATATAGGTGACCAGTTGGTGAAAATTTCATCAAAGTTAGAGCTGTGCTAAAGTGTGCGCGCTCATTTTACTGAGCATAGTTTTTCGGAAAACCCGCCTGAAAAATGTTTCTGTGATTTTCTCAGGCCATGATAATCCAAAAATAAAAACTTTTTTACCAGTCTATAGCGAAGGTCATGTAGATTGTGAATATATTGTCTATTTGGCTATAGCTACTATATAGTTTACACAGTTTTCGATATACTGTCGGTTCTACGACGAATTTTCTGCATGCGATATCTCAGTGACTATAAGTTCTGGAACTTTAAACATTTTTTTGCCATAAAATCGGCTGTTAATCAAAGTATAATCAATACTATTCAAAACTCGAAAAGACTCACCTTCGTTTTTTCACCTAATGTCCACGTGGTTGCCCACTGTGTGGGCTGTATTGAGTAGCAAAGGCCTATATAGTCAGACACCAGTTTAACTGGTATCTGACTATATAGGCCTTTGCAGAAAATTTCTTCAGTTGAATAAGATTATATTAAAAGAGGTTGAAGTTTTGAAATAGTCAACAAACTTCAAGAACAGTAAACTACGAATTCTTTATATTTTACTATTGCAGTATGTGAGATGCACATCTTATACATAGTCCTGCCAATAACACACTTATTGACATATACCGTTGATTGATAACTGCATTCATCCTTACAGAAACAACTTTTGATTCATTGAAGATATAAAAATCGGTGCAGAGACCTTTTATTTGAAAAATTTCAGCTAGAACAGTTGAAGCTGGTGAAGATCAACGTCGTTTATTGAAATTTTTGTTTGACAATTATAACGAGCTTGAACGCCCTGTACAAAATGACAGTGATACGTTAACTGTTAAAATGAATCTTGCACTTCAACAGATTATTGATTTGGTAAAATGTGTACAGGTTTTTAATTACAGACGTGTACCTTTTTCGCCTAATATCTTGTTCTTGAAGAACAATCTAATTATTAAATTAATTTGCAGGACGAAAAAAATGAAATTATTTTGATCAGTGGTTGGATGGTTTTGGTAAGGACTGTTATATTTACACAAGTATTTATTTGTGATTATTTTTCATACTATTTTTAGAATTGGATTGATTACAGTTTAAAATGGTCACCAGAAAAGTTCGGAAACATAACTACGATGCGTTTGCCTAGTGTAAAAGTTTGGACGCCAGATATTTTACTCTATAATAGGTATTATTCAGTATTGATTATCCTCCTTGTCTTTCTCATAAATTACTGAATTTTTATTTGTAGTGCGGATGAAAAATTTGACGCTACAATGAAAACAAATTTAGTTCTTCAACACAATGGCTCGATACTCTATGTTCCACCTGGAATATTCAAGTCTATTTGCCCCGTTGACATTAGTGATTATCCTTTTGGTAAGACTTGTCTGAGTTTTGTCTTTGAAATGTCGTTTGATACAAAAGAAATGGCAAATTACTGAAAAATTTCTAAATAATTTGGCTATCATTTTTATTGTCCAACAAAGTCTTTATATTTCAATTTTCGATTTTCTTCTAATTTTCCGATACGCAAAATTGTACATTGAAATTCGGTTCATGGACATTTGATGATTTCGGTAAAGATAAATAAATTCTCCTTTTTTATTTTAATAAAATAAGATATGTGTGCTGTATAATTTCAGGTTTGAATTTGACGTCCGATGGTGAACAAGGGCAACTAGATGCTTATATCAAGAGTGCCGAGTGGGATTTAAAAGGTAAATTTATTTTTGTTTTATGAATAAAAGATGACTCTCTTACATTTTCTTTACTATATTACTAGCATTTTCTGCGAAACGCGAAACGTTTAAATATGATTGTTGTCCTACAAAATATCCCTATGTACTATTTACCATTCAAATGCGACGACGAACGTTATATTATATTATTAATATTATCGTACCATGTGTCCTGATATCATTTATGACAGTTTTAGGATTTCTACTTCCACCCGATTCGGGTGAAAAACTTACTTTACGTATGTATAACTTAGATTTTAAGTTGTTAGCTATTTTTGTATAACTTTTATTTTAGAAATTACAATTTTACTTTCAATTGTTATGTTTTCATTGTTGATTTCTGGTATAATACCAGCATCATCGTTTGCCGTCCCTAGAATAGGCAAGAAACTTGTAATAAAATAATATCTAATATACTCCGTTATTATCTATTTCAGTTAGTTATTTTATGTGTGTAATGTGCATTTCATCAATGTCTATTGTGGCAACTGTCATTGTTTTACTTCTTCATCATCGAAATGCAAAAAATTATATTATGCCATATTGGGTAGACATTTTTATTCAGATGTCTTACTTCTTCATTTTTCTCCATTTTCTATTTCAGATTCGAGTCTATATTTGTCATTATCTCGCTTGGTTACTGAGAATGAAGCGACCTGGCTATGAATTATCATTTCAAACAATTCGTCGTTTTCATAAACCCTCACAAAACGAAATATGTCTATTAGCAAATTCATCAAAAAGTTTATTAGCAAATATTAAGGACGATGAGCCACTATTAATTGGACTTCAATTTTCAAAATTTAACAAAAAGTCGACTGGGATCCCATCAAAGAATTATATAAAAACTGATGATTGTAGCACTAGTAAAATATACGATGTACTATCTCAAGAGATTCATTTACTCTGTAATGAACTAAAAACAATTCGAACCGAACTTTGTTATATCACAAATAATATTCGAGAAGAAAAAGATGAAGAAGAAATTTCAGTTGATTGGAAATTTTCTGCCATGGTTATTGATCGTCTATGTCTATGTTTATTCACAACATTGACGGTTATTTTCAGCTGTTCGATGCTATTCTCAGCCCCCAATTTTTTTAAAATGCGATAAATAAAGTGTGCAATATGTATGTACATTTAAAGTTGTATATACAATTGAGAGATCAGAGCAGTCATTTTTATCTGTTTGTCAAACGAGGTAGGATCACGCACAGTTAACTTGAACAAAGATGAATCAAGTGACAATACTTCAGCATAATGATTACATCATTGTCTTATCAGTATTTTATTTATTTTATAATATTTATGGTAGTGAAGATAAACGCTGTATATACGTGTAAATGACGCTATTATCGTGTAAATAAAGAAAAGAGAAAAAATAAAGTTCGTTGCCTTATTCTCAATGTTTTAAAACTCAGCAGAATACTGCTTATTAGAGTTCATTTAAAGATCAATTATTTAGGTAGAATATGTTTAAGTTGATTTTACAATCTCTTTATTTTAAATAATATCAACACTCTACACACACACACACATCACATATACGTTGTCTTTAATGACTTATTCAAAAAATAGGTAAGTCTAACTTTTTCGCAATAAATCGTTTTTAAGTATACTAATGGATTTTAAAGCATACTCTGTGTAGGAAAGTTTAATTGTTTGTTCAATCAAAGCCATACATATACATACAGAATAATTAGAAACACACTATGATCACTCATCTGTTTTTGACACTCAAGTAGTTGGAGAAGAAGAACTGTTCATTGCATATTGTGTACGAGAGAAAAACAGTTAATTTTTCATGTTATATGCGGAATTATCTGCATCTATTTAATACTAACGTAGGGATTATATATAGAGAATCCATGATGTACTATATGATTTCGTACCAAGAGCAGAGACGAAGTCTGAAATTTTTTAACGTTTGTACGATCTACAAACACTTCTTTTTCTTGAATCAGCTATTGACTATTCTATACGACAAAATTTCACTGTGGCATTGGTCAAAATTTGTGTGAACCGGCGCACATGGTATGTTATCGGTCTAACTGGCGCAACCAGTGCCGATGTATTTCTACCCAAAAAGTTGAGTCCTTTTTTGTAGGGCAGAAATTAGATTTTTTTTACAGTTGCTTTTACTTTATTTTGTATTAATTTTTAATTATTTGATTTTCGTTACCCTTCTACTTTATGAAATGCGGCAAAACCTACACTTTTCCATTTAGAGAGTGCATCGCCGTATCGGCACCACATCACCTTGTCTCAACCATGCGCCGCTTCTCTCATGAAAAGGATAAGATAAAGTCAAAGAGACACTCGGAGTATCATAAGAATACTGTATTTTTTATATAGTCAGTTATGGACAAAACAAAACAGTGATTGAAAATAAAATTTGGCACTGCTATGCATACTTCTACTGATAATATTTTTTTGTATAGAAAGGGTCTTAATGTGATACATGACGAGAAAATTGTCCGGAATGAAGTATATAATTCCATTCCAATGGCCTACAAGATATAAGGCACGGAATATCATCGAACAATTTTATTTTGAAAAGCATATCTTCTCATTTCTAATGGGTGATCCATAGGAAATGGGTCACTTTTTGTTTTTGATTTATCTAAGCCGTATGTCATCCATTTGAGTTGATTGACACATCACAGTATGCGTCTTGAAGTTATATACAAAAAACGTATTGAGTGTTTTTATTACAAAATGTAGAAGTAGACGGTTACACAAAAAGCACTAGAATTTTTTTTTTGGTTTTTTACATTGATAATAAGTTTATTTGTTCCAAAAAGGTTAACAATTGTGTAAAAAACATACAGCTCGATTTTATAATCCATAGATTAAAAAAAGAAAACATTAACTTTACTACTGATAATGTATAATTTAACACTAGACAGTGTTAAAATGCCACAGAGTATCGGTTTATTAAGATATCTTATTGAGCGTCGAAAGGTTACGGAGGTTGAAGAAAATTCCTTTTGGTGGGATGTCATCGCCAAAAGAGCACACTGTGTGTATTGATATTGGGTTGCTTCGGGAACTTCCTCTAGATATTTCGTAAATATTTTCTAGTATTTAAAACTCTAATCTCATAACGAAAAAGCTCGACTAAAGATCAGTGTAGCTAAGTCATGTAAATCGTAGATGATTCGTAAACCGGTTGCATAGACATGTTCTACGAGGCCTTGTTGTTTTTCAGTGAAGAAGAACCAGATAATGAATACTCAAATAAAGTGTGGAAGTGTGTGCGAAAGCAAGGAAAATTTGATTTTTTTTTGGAATGAAACGAAACAGCCCATGTCCTCGAAATCGCTTCGGTTTGAATGATTAATCGCGATTTTGCAAAATATTAACGATTAATGGCGATTTCGACAAAAAATCGTCGATTAATGGCGGTTAATTGGTAATTTTTCCAGAAACCACGATTTATCACCATTATCAAAAATATCGCCAGTTAATCGCAATTAATCGGCGATTTTGTTATATTGACGCTAAATTACGGCTAAATCAGTTATTTACTTAACTTAATATTTTTCAACTCAGAGAAAGAGAAAATAGCTATTACGAGGGATTTGTTGAGCTCGATTTAATAATAGGTGTCGTATGCTATAGCATAGAAGTTTCAGCTTCATAATTTGGCAAACTGGTCGATTTTATCGCGATAAAGCGCACAATTAATCGGTTCGTAAATCGCGATAAAATCGTCGATTTTTCCGCGATTTTCATCACATGGGAGAACTCGCAACACGTTGTAAATATTTCTAATATTTTTAAGGCGATTTTTAATGAAAACGCCCCACCCTAATTTGAACATATCTCAACATCCAGATATTTGAAAATTTTTACAAAGTCAGTTTTAATTCCTTTGTATTCTAAATACGACTATTGAGGAGCTACTACGCTGTGGATGAACAAGGCCTTTATTTTTGATACATTAATCGGTAGAACGATGTCATCTGCGAATTTAGCTAATGAATCTAGCACTATCCTAGCCCGTTGTTCTAATTCCTTAATATTCGCAGAAAAACGCTTCTCCAAGGATCCGAAAAACACAAGAGCCAAATCAATGTGTGACTACTTATATGAAATATTTAGGAAGAAAATGGATGTGAAGGCGGAATAATGTAGCGTCGAGTACTGAACTTTGAGGAGTTTCCACAAAATTTTTTATTACTGTTGAGATAGCTTCCCCGTGGCAAATTGAGAGAGATCTATTCTATAGTCACAGATAAATCCACTGAACCAGTTCCAGCGGCATTTCCAATTCTAATAAATTACTTATGAGAGCCGGAAACCACATTCGATCAAAAGTGGTCATAAAGTTCACGAAGATTATTAATGCTGGACGATTACTAGCAGCAATTGTTAATCTTAGATCTTCGCATAAAGATAATATTCGTGTTTGCAGCCCCTTCCGGGTATAAAACCTGATTCTTTATCAACACAGGTAACCTTTTCGTAGAACAAAAAGAAGAAATCTTTGAAATAATCAACTTTTTAAAATATTCTCAACGAATTCAACCTTTTTTTCAAACGCTCATACAGCTGTCAAGATACAACAGAATAAACTTTCTGATGCTATGAAGTGTACTCTTCCTCATGATATATGATGGATTCCGACCAAATCTAGTGTTACAAATCAAAGGGTAACATTATTGAAATCCACTGGATAGCAGGGATAGTTTGATCTTTCCACTAAGCATAGTAGAAGAAAGTTCTTAAACTTCTTGTATTTAGATATACAGGAAGTGTCATTTCTCTGTAAAGTAAGAAAAAACTTGAATCCAAAATGTTTGATTTTGTACGAGTTATGCCAGTTGTATAATGATTTTTGTGGAAACGTGTAAAAAGAAAAAAGCTCATATTTAATAAGTTTCGCTGTGGCAAAATTTTGATTTTAGCTAGACGATGAAGCTTTTCAAGAGTTACGAAATGGCTAGTTAGATTTTCTATATTTCAACAGACAAAGGAAAAAATCGGTTAAAACTGTTTTTTTAACCAGAAAGCGTTTATTTTAAAGATTTCTAGTGTTTTTCGTGTAACCGCCTACTTTTACAGTTTGTAATAAAACACTCAATACGTTTTTGTATAGAATTTCAAGACGTATCTTGTGGTGTATGAATAAACTCAAATGGATGACATACAACTTAGAAAAATAAAAAGTGACCCATTTCCTATGAATCACTCGTTACTACTATAATTGTACACGACGATCGTTCTTTTTTCGCTCAACAACCTAAACCGTTACTGAATATAGACGAAACCAATTTCATAGAGGGATGCGCTATGTGTAAAAAATGGTAACTATCGTCGATTCACTGATTTTTCAAAGAAATTATTAACCTGTTTCTATATACATCTTTGACTACACTACACTCTTGCTAAAAGAATTGATAGTCACTGATAGCGTTTACTTTTTTAAAAATACCGACATCGGCGTCGTCAGTTTGGAAAGGTTGAAAAAAAAGAGGTTCTTTCCTTTGTCATAAATGCTCTGTTTTGCTTTTTGGCTACTGAAAAATTCTAATCTTTGGACTCAAACTAGAATCGTATAAAATCCCGAATTTTTTATGATAATCTTTTTTGGGGCTGAACTAAGAAATTGTTAACAAATCAACACCGTGTGTGTACAATTAGTGAGTTTTCAGCTCGGAGTGCCAGTATGTCTGAGAAAGGTTCATGAGGAAAGCTCATTTGAAAGACGTAAATATCTTTGCAACTATCTAGATTAGCAGAATCGAATTTAAACTGTAACCTAGTTGCGATATATACAATGTACAGAGTGTTCCAAAAGTCAGCACGAAAAAAATCTTGAATATCTTTATCAGTTCTTCATTAACCTTCAAGGTTGATTTTTTGGTGAATAGAGGAAAGTTTCAGATTTCATTTCATATGATTGCAAGTATAAAAACAGTTACTGCGGAAAAATAATAAAACTTGCAATACATGTTTTCGGTATACGTACTTATTATAGTGAGTAAAGATTATTGAGCTTGTTGTAATTGAACGGAATCTTTGCGAGTGTCTTACTATGTCTCATTTTGTAGAACTCGAGTTGCTCTATAATTCCACATATTCAAATGTTTTATTCAACTTAAACTT